AGAGCAGGTTTATTTAAAGGACTTGTGTGAATGTAAGAGACCTTTTTCTGTTTTTTCTCAAACATTAGTGACAGTATTGTAGTGTGAGCTGGAAGGTGCTGAGTCACTCCTAGTCATCACAGAGAAATTAAAGGCGCTGTGACACAGACAGGTCTAGATTGTGCTGAACTCCATGCATGGCTGTTTCTTCACATTTGATGGATTTGCTGAACAAACGTGGACTGTTCAGTAATGCATGATGTAAGATTTTTCAGTATACGGTTTATATGTAAAGGCATCTTGCCTGTAACAAATATAATTCAAGACAGAAAAGAAGATCAACAGAAGTCTTTTCTGTGCCGGGTCTAATGAATTCTAGCCATTGTCCTTTACCCCCACATCACAAGGTTCTGTAGGTCATTGGGCCTAGAGACGTCTATCAGTAGAGGTCGTTCAGCTTGTTGTCAGTGCGGGAGATTTACTAATTACAGTATGTGTCCAAGAAGTGGCCAGATTATTATGACCACCCCATCAGTACTTCGTTGGGCCACGAGATGACTTTGTTGGGCCGCCTCGTGACTCCACGAGATGTTGAAAGGTGATGTGAGGAATCTGACACTGCACTGTTGCCCTTCTGTTGTCTTGTACCAGTCTTGCCACTCTCCGTTTTGCCCTGACATGGACTAGTCGCTGACGGCCACAATTCGCACGTTCAGACCCAGATTTCCGGCTGGCAGTCCAGTCTTTAAACACTTTAACAATAGCTGCTCTTGAACATTTAACGAATTCTGCTGTTTTGCTGGTACTCGCTCCATGACTCCGAGCGCCAACAATCATCCCACGTTCAAAGGCTGTTAAATCGCGTTGTTTACCCGTATCTTCAGAAAAAAATCACTTCTACTGTCGTGGTAAACAACCTGCTTCCCTATTTATAATGGTCTGGCCCAATAATCTGGCCACTCAGTGTATGATTATTTGGGGTTAGGGCAGATATTTGCTTGGACACCGTTGTCCTGTTTTATGGGGAATAGATGGGACGTGCATTTTTATATTTACCTCAAATTGTACTTTTATGTATTAGTAGATGAATTGATCAAACTTCTTTTCTATAATGAATCGGCAAAGTATTTCTTAGCCCAAGCACTTAGTCCTCATGTTTCCAAACCACTCCAACTCTCACAGCTCAGCTTCCCTGAACCTCCTTGTCGTCTTGTAAAGAAGTTCAGGGAAGCCGAGCTGAGAGAGTTCCCTCAGCTCGGCTTCCCTGAACATCCTTACAAGGACGGTCTCCAGCAGTTGTCTATCTACTATCTTGTAGGAGGGAGGAGAGAAGTGTCTTGCTTTGCTTCACCTGTGTGCTTCCAGCTTATCCGGGCACACAAAGGTGGCTGCATAGAACCCTGCATGGGAAAGTAGACACCCTAATACTGGATAGCAGGGCCAGTGCTCAGGGGACCAGCTGATTCTATAGGAAACTAAAACTTTTAAATTTCAAGAAGCAGCATCCATTGTAAGTTATCTAAAGAAGAACTACGGGGCAAACTGTTTTTTTGCCCATAGTTCTCTTCAGGGTAATGGGGGGACATGTACGAATGTCCTCTGGTGACCCAAACCTCCGCATATAGCGTTCTTTCTTAGTGTATGTATGAATTATTAGAAATAATCTTGTGTGCGGCCATGACCAGATGCTTTGAGGCTCTTGAAATCTGAGCACTGATCCTGAATACAAATGAAAGGGGTATTAGAGGTGAACTTGGTTCCATGGCTTGTATATCCGCATATGGGCCTGTGGGCTGATTGATATTGTGACCCCTAAAAAAGTCCTTTATGGCCAGAGATCGAGAAGCGTGTGTCCTGCAGGAAACCAAACCACGGTTTATTCAATACAATGGACATTTACAGAGCGTGTACACAAAGTCTTTGGTTAAACATTGCTGACACATAACAAGTGTTGTGTTTGTGATTAGGACATTATTTAGCTTATCGGTTGCTCCCTCCTGAGTGTCTCCCGTGTGTCTGATAAGACGAAACAAAAGTGCAAGAAAGTCTGAACTTCTATATTGTTCCAGCACAAACATTCGCTGCTCCATGTCAATGTTGCATTTCAAAGAGGGTAGCGCAGCAAATAAAGAACATTTTTAACTGTTGTTCAGCTCGGAAGTTCATTGGAGCGAAATCATTTGTGCTATTGTTTTATAGGTGGTGGTCATTATTTGTGGTCGCATGTCTATCTCCAATGATACAATGATCAATATTTAGGAAAACTCTAATGGACATACCTCTATAAAGTTTCTGGGATGGGAAAGTGGGTCACCCTTAAGCACAAAGGAGGGAATTCATAAAGATTGGAGCAGACAGAGTCTGGAGCAGTTGCCGATAGTAACCAATCAGTTTCTTTCTTCAGTTTGCTCAGTTAAAGTGACATTAAAGGCAAAAGTCCCCGCCCCCTTCCCCCACAGTGCTAATGTAAGGACTTACCTTAAATGATTCCTGTTAATCCGATCATCTTCTTCTTTACTGTAGTTTTCAGCTGTCTCTCCAGCGCTGGTGCGGGTCTCCGATCCAGCGCTGACTCCTCTGTCCTCTCCTCTGACGTCCCACGGAGTCTATGCGGGTGCACGCTGCTCTATAGACTTGTCTCTCTCCTCGTCTCCCGGCCGAGCATCTGAACTACGCATGCGCCCGCCCCAAGATCCTTTGCAGCCGCCCGAGAATGTTTTTAAACATTGTTTTGCATATATCTACTGCTTGCTAGCCGTAGATGTATGCGAAAACATGCGAGGGCTTTGAAAATGAAAAAGAGAAGCAGGCAGAGCCTTTTGCGGCAGCTTCTTTTAGTGGACTTTCAGGCACTTTCAAATCTGTCCACATTCCTCACTCCCAAGGGTTTACTTGCTGTTCCCATGGACAAGACATCAATGATCATTCTGGGCAATGATTTTGTAAAACCAGTAGCCAGATTTTAAATAAGAGCCCTACATCAGTCTTATCTTGCTGCGTCTATGGCCATAGAAGGCAGATATCTTGATCTCGCATAGAAAATGTGGGACACTAGGAGGCCATCGTCCAACACTCAGTCGTTACTTTGCCAAGTCGTACAATGTTTTATGTGAGATTATGAAAGCTTCTAACTACCGTATTTTCCCATCTATAAGACGCCCCCATGTATAGGACGCCCCCCACTTTTTTTACCCAAAATTCAGAAATCAATATTTTCCATGCTCTTTTGCATAACTGATTACATCCAGTTTAAATTTTGCAGAGTAAGACAGCCGCTTACTGGTACCGGTATTTACCGGTATTTTTTTTGTTTTCTGACATTTTTATGGGCTCCCTGTTGCATCTGGGCACTGGCTACACGCTCTCCGCAGCATCAGCTGACGTCGGGTACATAAGGCTCATGATTGGAGGAAACCTGCAATTGTAAGTTTCACTTGTGAGGCTAGTTTGCAGAGGTATCGGCAGTTTTGCAACCGCGGTTCTCCTCTCGGCCCCCCCCCCCCCCACCCCCGTGTATAAGACGCCCCTCCATTTTTAGGTAAATATTTTTGAGAAAAAGTATAGTCTTATACATGGAAAAATACAGTACCTGAGGTGCTCATAATCCCCTCCTTGAGGTTTTGGTTTGATAGCAAGTGATACCTAAAATGACTTGCTTTTTAATGAGATGTATACAGCCAGCCATTGCCATTTACCCTTCATTACAGGGGTAATTGAAATGTTTTTAGTTGTAGCGTATTAGAAATCATTAAACAATAAACCAATTTATAGAGAGTCTTATCTTGGTGCAGCAGTTTTATGCCAGTATGATAAGACATTGAGTACATTGGGTTAAAGCCCATTCTAATACACAAAATGTAGTTGGCCATCTTGTGGGCCAGTCCTTTCTATAAATGAATGGAGTATACTTGAGCTGGTGCACACGGCACGAATTTCATCTGATTCAGGAGGAATGTGCCAAAATGCAGTCCTTTGGTGACCCTATTGCCTCAATCATTACATCCACTTTTACCGAAGGAACCTGCTGGAAAATCATCGGCTGAATGACCCTTGCAGGCAATCGTCCACAAGCACCTTTGTGGCACTTTGACAGCGGCCAGCACCGCTGTCAGAATACAGTGTACAGAGCTGGAGGTTCATTCATCTATCTGTCATGTTCCGAGACTGTATGAATAGAATATAACCGTTAGGAAGCTAATAAACTGAATAAGGAAATGACATTCCAGAAAAATATCTTAAGCTGGCCATACACTTGAAGTTTTTTTCTCAATCAGCCTCGGCAAGTTCTCCTCCCCCTTGCTTGTGTTTGAACAAAGGAGCAGCGAGCAGGGATGAGGTCATTCATGTGTTCCACCTCCTGTCAGTGCATTCACACTGTTTGACTGTCTTTACTGCTATATGGGGCTCTGTTAGAGAGATTTTCCCTCGCTTTGTCCTGCTGACATTTTACTGCTTTTCTTTTAGTGTGTGTGGAAACGCTGGAACCCCCGGAGCTTGATTTCTGTCTGTGTCTTTGATACAAATTGTCTCTCAATACTTGTTGGTTGAAACCATTAGCAGGACAGGAAGTGAGAGTAAATGTCTCTAACAGAGCCCCAGATAGCAGTAGAACACGAGTTCTTCTCCACTCTACCCAAACCTTGAAGAAAAGTTTGTTACTTGTCATATAACTTACTTTTCACTTGTCTGTATTGTCCATAGAGACCAGATACGACAGAGCTGCCACCTCCTTAGTCCAGGCCAAGGTATTGAAAGTATCTGGTTGCTGCGTTGAGGGTCTACAAGTCGTGTCCTGCGATATGTTTAGCACACGAAGCTTACATTGTGCGTTCTTCCATACATTAGATCTGTTTTCAGGGTAGATTTGAGTTACTTATTTTCAGAAAATGGATGAAGCTGAAATCATGTGATATACCGGGACATTTTTGTACGACCACCATGAACATATTTGTTTTATATTGAACTTAGTGATTGTACAGATGTGCTCTGATTGATGTCATGTTGTGTTCCCTCTCTTGCAGGTAGTTATAAATGGGGGAGCCGCGTCCACTGTTGATCAGGATACCGAAGACACAGAATTAATGGCTATTTATACAACTGAAAGTGGCAATGCAGAAAAGGTACGGGTGTTTTGCTGCCGTTCTTCGTTTGTTTTGTTTTTTTGTACTTCCTGCTCCAGAAACACTACAGGAGGTGAATTGAAATCTCTCCAAGTGAGATGAACTACCAGAATCAGTGCCCCCTTTGTTATGTTACCCACCTATGTTCATTCTGGTGACAACTGTAAAATTATTTTCTATCACTTTCTGACTCCGTGACAGTAGTCACCATGGCAAATGATGAAGTAAAATGATGCTCAGAGGAGATCACTCGTGCTGATTAGGGATGCACTGAAATTTCGGCCGATATGTTATTTCGGGCGATATGCCGAAAATTTCACTTTTGCCAAAATGCCGGAAGTGCCATCTTTCTTCCAAAATAGCGGTGCATTCCTGCTTTATCTCCTCACTGCTGTGCGCTGCTCTGAATCCCCTGTGACGCAGTGTCCAGCGGGGAGGAGAGAAACTTTCACAGGAGACCAAGCGGTGCAGGAGAGGAGAGCGTCTGAGCGTGCATCTCTCCTCCCGCACCACTTATCCTCCTGTGACAGATCAGGAGAACAGTGTGGGGGCGGAGACAGCTGTCACAGGGGCCAGGCCGGCTGTGAGGGGGAGGAGTCAGATGTCACAAGAGACTAAGCTCTCCTCCCTGCACCACTCAGCCTCCTGTGACAGCGAGTCAGGATGGAGAGCGGGTACAGGTCAGTGATCGCTGAGTGTTTGTAAATAATTGAGGACAGAGTATGTTTACTGTGTCCCCAATTGTGAGTGAATGGGAAGTGATCTACATCACCTCCTGTTCATTCATGATTGTGTACATGGTGAAGATACTATCCTCAATCTCCTTATTTAGGGAGAAGGAAAATATCAGGGATCTGTTTAGACCCCTAATATTTCCAAGAGCCCCTAACAGTAAAAAAAAATTAATAAAAATATATAAAAAACTAAATTTTAATAAAAATAAGAAAAGTTTAGAAAAAAAAAATTAGGTTTCAGACTGACCTTTTTTTTTGTTTGTTTCTTGTTTTGAAATTTTCATTTCTGTGCACCTCCTAGTGCTGATTTTTGTATTTTGTTTTTATTTTTTTTTAAACTCCCTATACACTAGTTGTAGCTAATAGCATGACGGCTATATTGGCATGCACTCAGTGATGAAATTATCCTCCCCAAATGGCTTTACTGGCTGTGTAAACTTTATCGTACTTTGCCTTTATTAAAACAAAGAAGTTCCCACATTTTTTGCGGGCGCTGGCACTGCATCTGTAATGTTCCTCAGCTGATTAGTATTTGCTTAGCACCCAGACTGAGGAGGAGGCAGCAAGCCCTCCACATTGGGGTTCTGGTACACTGAGTCATCTGCCAGTCCAGGTAGAGGCTGAAGTGTTTAGTTTTTAGGAAATTGACTGCTTACCCGTCTTGAACGGTAACTCCCCTGTTTTGGCGTGCAAGTAAAAATTTGGATACATTAAGTAGATTAAATGAGAACTATGAGGTGAGTGCTTTTCACTCACCTCATAGTTCTAGCCGACCTGTGACAATGAGACTGTCACAGATCGGCTCAGTAGATCGGGAGGTGAGCGAACACATACCGGCGTTCGTTCACCTCTCGATCCTGTCACGGCTCTCTGCCGTGACAGGGGAGGGGCTGGATTTCCCCCTCCCCGCTCCGATCCGCCAGCGCTGACTGGTGGATCGGACGGGGTAGGGGGCGGGTACAGCTGGCTCTGCCTCTAGATAGACAGAGCCAGCTGTCAGTCACACAGCTGGGCGGATCCCGGCACAATTGTCGGTATCCGCTTCAGCTGCGGCATCTCAGTCGGTATACAGAGCTTAGGGTACCGGGAGGACGCTAGTTTGTGTCCTCCCGTTACCCTAAGGAGAACTATGGGGAAAAGCCTTAACCCCATAGTTCTCCTTTAATGTATTTTAATCTTAGCACATGTCCATACCACGGCGTGCTTGAGAGCATGTACTAGACATGTGTGCTAGTGACAGAACTTAGATTGCTGTAAGATTAAAGAGGAACTTCACCTTCCCTAACTAAAATGACATTTCTTCTTTCTAAGAATTTCTCTGTATAGAAACAAACAGAAAAAACATTCTAGTCCATAGATTTTCTATGCCGCGCACAACAATGCGCTACAACACGTGTGTCGCAATGTGCTGTTGCACATAGTTAGAGGAAGTGTTAGTTTGTGAACTTCAAATAAAGTTAAAGTGCACACTGAGATATGTTCTGACAACACATTGCAGTGTGTGCACAATGCATACCACAGATCACGCATTATGTGCACCATAACACGGGCCTGCTGGTGTGAACGGGCTGACAAACCTATGACAAAGCAATGTAGCTTAAATACATAGTTACATAGTATTTGGGTTTGAATAAAGACATACGTCCATCAAGTCCAACCCATATAATACAGGTGATCACTGTAAAATGACAGTAATCCTCTGCTAGGAGTAGACAGGCTAAGCATATCTTTTAGTGGTCTGTGGCACTTTAAACACACACACAAGTTAATAAAAACAAAAATAAACCTCCATCATTGGTGGTCAGTGACACTTTTTAATGCCCCCTCCATGAATGAAGCTTTCCCCTAGCTGCTGCTAGCCTTCCTTGTTTGCTGTGAAAAGATCTTTGATTTCTGTTGAGAGAGCAAGGGGAGGGCTCTCAAAGGTAAACGCATGCAGTGTTTACATCTGATTGCTTTGATTGGCCATCACAAGGGGCAGAGCCACTCTGATTGGCTCTGTGTATTTTGCCTGTCATCTTTGTCTTATTTATTTTTTTTATTATATAGTGACTGCAATTTACCTAGCGCTTTACATAGTTGTATAGTCACATCCGTCCCTGCCCTCAAGTAGCTTACAATATAAGGTCCCTATCTCACATGCATATAATAATATTATTATTCAGGATTTATAAAGTTTCAACAGTTTGTGCAGTGCTTTACAATACACAGGGCTGATTTAGACAAGAACCTTCCAAAATGTCTTTTGGAGTGTGGGAGGAAACTGGAGTACCCAGAGGAAACCCACACAAGCACAGGGAGAACATGCAAAATCCTTGCAGGTAGTGTCCTGACCGGGATTTGAACCGGGGACCGCCAGTGCTGGATTGCAGAAGTGCTAACCACTCTGCCACTGTGCCGCCCACAACAGGATCACATCCGTTGGGGACCACCCGGCATGCCCATCCTCTCTGCAGTCATGGACGTTTTTAAATGTCTGATTAGAAAGGTAGGTCTCCGCACCGGCTGTTTTACTAGAATGGGTGGTCAGGAGGTGGCTAAGGATCTTCAAATATTATTTTTACACAAAAAGGTTTTCTATAAGAGTAGTGAGGAAATCCACGGATAACCTCTTTCTATACTTTCCTTCTAAGATTGTCTGTGAAGGTTCTCATTCATCCATGTCATGGTATATCTGTAAAGAAATAATTCAAGGCAACTGGACCTGCTGTATTTTTCTTGAAGACGTTTCACTGGTCATCCGACCGGCTTTCTCAAGTCATAATTCTGAATTAGCTGGTTGGATGACCAGAGAAACGTCTTCAAGAAAAATACAGCAGGTCCAGTTGCCTTGACTCATTTTTTACAGATTTCCTTCTAAGATTGTTCTGTGCCAGACACACAACGTGAGGGAGGCTACCAATAGGATGTTGGTTGGATTGCCTGATTGTATCAATTTCTAAGGACTGTTACACTATTTCAGCTTCTCCAGAGTAGGAAAGTCTTTATTACATCTTTTTTTTTTTTTTTATACCATTTAGCATGCTGGAATCCTTCATGCATAATTATTGCCCCTGTGTGGTGACATTTAGCTTTTAAATGAGCTGAGCACATCTGGCTTTAGAGGTCCTGATTGCTGCAGCACACAACTGTGTCCTCCAGACAGACATTAGATTGGTTTGGTTGGTGTCAGGTCAACATTCCTCTCTGAACCTCCAGATCCCTACCTGGAGTGGAGATAAAGTGCTAGTTGTCGGCCTGTTTTTTTTGGTATTTTGGTTGCGGTCGTTTTCTGCGATGTCGCGGGTGCGCACAATTTTAAAGCTTGACATGTTAGGTGTCTATTTAACCGACGTGACCCGATCTTTTATATTTGACCAAAAAACTGGGTAATAATAAATGTTTCCTAACATAATGTTAAAAAAAAAGTTTTTTTTTCAAAATTTTGAGTAATTTTTTCTAATTATAATAAAAAATAAAACCCCCAGTGGTGATTAAATACCCCCAAAATAAAGTTCTATCTGTCCCCAAAAAATGGTGTAAAATTCATTTCAGTACAGCGTTGCATGACGGAATAAACTTCAGTCAAAGTATCGCAGCGCTGAATACTGAAAAATGGCCTGGCCAGGAAGGGGGTCTAAACACCTGGTCTTGAAGTGGTTAAGCTCTAATGATCAACTCTTCTTTTTTTGTTTGTGAGGTTAAAGGTCTCGCTTCTTTGATTACATTTTTTTCTAATGGCAGATTTTAAATCTGTGACTATTATATGCTTCTTAGTCTCCCAGCATGAAATGTCATTCAGGTTCTGAGGTCGCCCGAGGCAAGAGCTCATGTCAGTCGGCGCTGAGCCATCTGTTGTCCTGTACTGCTCATAGGACACCAGTGCATGGCCATTGTTCTCCTTTAAGGCCTAAACTTATTCTCATTTATATACTTTTTTGCATAATTTGTTTTGTTAAAATAAAACTAAACTCAGTGTGCAATGCATCAAAATGCATTCTAGTACTTTAACTTTTAACAATGCTATACCTTATTTGTGTATCACTCGGTTGTAGATCCTCAAATCATCTCTGAATTGGTGCGGACACTGTCCTTCCTTCCTTCTGGAGGGTGGCTACTTTTTTTTCCTTATGGTCCCTTTTGTGTGTGTTGTAAAGTAGTCACTGCTCCAAGCTCACTTCTGTGATGGACTGCAATCTCAATACAAATTAGTAAACTAAACATGAGATTGTAGTCCATCACAGGAGTCAGTTTGGAGTGGTGGCTACTTTACAACACACACAGGGA